TGTCTTGCCACAAATATCCTGCAGTTCCCTTCATTTTGATTATCGGGGGGGGGGGGAGAACAAAAACAGCTTTCTTTTTAGAATGTCCATAGACTTTAGCAGGCTTAGTTTGAAAGGGATTATTATTGTGTATGTGTGTGTGTATTGCGTAATCTACCCTGAGACTAAGAGGACAATTGGAAAAAAACTTTATTGTTTAAAGCTGTCTGGCATGAATACGCTATATACCTAAAGCAAAATGTGTATGTCATAAAATTCAGAAACAGCTGACTCTTCATACTGATCATCATCAAAATACATGAGACAGTATAAAAATACACCACCTGTCAAAATTGGCTGCTAGACAAGCCCCCGCCCCCCCCCATTGATTTATGACTCTTGGGTGAGTCATGCTTCATTGCCCCCCGTGCACCTTGGTTCCGGTTTTTATGACATGCAGTTGTCCAACGTCCACGCTGTTTTACAGATTTTATGGTTTTATTAATATATAGCCATGCACCTGCAAGTCATAAAAGTACATCTGGCAACAATAAAAGTAATGTTTCTAATGGGAACAAGTTAGCCATCATGTTTTCATATCATCATCACAGGATTATATTAGGTTCCCCTTAGCAACAGGTCTGTCATCGATGCACCCTCACAGACCAGGCATAACACTTCAAAGGGGTTTTATTAAGCCCAACCAACAAGGCATAGGTACAGGCTTCTACTTGTAAAGATGCTTGTTTTTTTCATAATTAAGTATTTCGCTTTTGTTTAGTTTTAATTTAGTTTATTGCCAATAGTTTAGTGAGATGAAAGGAGTAATTCTTTTTAACTTAGGTGAAGCTCATGCATCACAGTCAGCAGTGTTTCAGTGCCTCCCCCATCCCTGCCTACCCGTCCCCATGTGACAATGGAGACTTGTGCCAATTAGAAAATTAGATTAAAAACTGTTATTTTTATTGTATTCTGTTGAACCAGAGGTTGGAAATACAGTATAAACAGCGGGTCCCTGCATTGCTGTAGGTATTACAATCCTATTGAAAAGAATGATCTGTTATGGTGTTAAGATGCCATCATTCTGTAAGCTTTTTCCTACAATCTATCACGTGAAACAGTATCTTTTTTGCTAAATACAGTTTAATTGAAGGTGTCTGTCTGATTTAGTTGGCATGTAACAGTTTATACATGAAAATAGTTTTTAAATGATAGAGGCAGGGTTATGTCTGTGATGAGAGGCTGTCACTCTGTCTGGCAACCGATTTTGACCGATAGTATATTTTTAAACTTACTCTGAGGTCACTGTTTCCAGCTTTTTAACATGTCCTCAGTGTGATGCAGGATGCACATTTGTAGCTCTCTCAGACCAAGGGTCCAAGCACAGCTACATTGGTTACATATTTACAATTGGGTAGCATCATGTTTTATAATAAAGACACATAACATATTAGAATAAACGAACAGGACAGCAAACATTTAGTCTGCTTAGAATCATAATAAGTATATTGTGAAAATGTGTACTGTCAGAGCTTCCAGCTTTACCTGTATATTATGTAATGTTGCTTGGTCAAAAGAACAGAGTAAAGTTCATGTGTTTAAGCAGTGTCACCTCACAGCAAGAAGGTTTTGGATTGAGACCTGGCTTTTGACTGTTGCCTTTCTGTGTGGAATCTGCATGTTCCAGCGTCTCCCACAATCCAAAGACATGCAGGTTAGGTTAACTGGTGACTCTAAGTTGCCTTTAGGTGTGAATGTAAGCATACAAGTATCACAGATTAATCAGCCAACAAATGCACAAAACACTACCAGATGTAAGATTACAAACGTGAAAAGGAAACCAAAGTGTATTACTATTTTATTTTATATAACATCCAGGACCTGTTTTACTTGATTAGAAACATTTTCAGTTGATTTGTTGTTGCCCCAAAATTGCCCAAGTGCCCTCATATTACTGAGTCAACTCACGTTGCACTAACCTGATAGCAGAGATAAGATGGTGACATAAAAAGGAGGCGAGCTAAGACAGAGACAAACAGATTGCAGATGAAGGCCAGAGACAGAGAGGACAGGAACAATCAAAACCCACAAATCACTTCTGAAGATTGCTTGCATGTAACCCAGAGGCTGAGTTACTGTGCCTAAGTCATAGACCTTCTACCTACCCAGGGATTTTGGAGGCATCATAATGTGTGCAGTCTATGTCCACCCCAGTGAAAACAGTCAAAGCTGCCAACAAAATATTTGACTGTGTACAACAACAAATACAACGCTTTCCAGGGGCTCCTGTGTTCATACCTGGGGACCACTGTGAATTGGAGTTGGTGCTGTCCGGTTTTGAGCAGTATGTTAAATGCCCCACCTGAGACAGAAATACACTGGACAGATATTATGGCAACATTAAAAGTCTCATACACCAAGACTCAGGTCCGCTCTAGGCAATTCCGACCACAACAACCCCCATCTGATCCCAGCATATAAGTCTGTCCTAAAACAAAGTAAACCAAAACAGTAGCTGTGTGGACAAAGGGCAATAATGACACACTTAAGTACTGCGATGACACAGCTGTTTTAAATCTACTTCACGTACATGACGACATAACTATTTACCATTCATAAGTCAGTTTTTTCACTGAATGTTCAAGCACAAATCATCTAAATGTCAAAAAGACTCAGGATATTGTTTTTGACCCAAAAAGCAGTCAGTGATCATAAAGCAACAGCCAGGCATGACCAACCCACTGCACAAGTGCAGTCATATAGGTACCCTGGTGTTTTCATAGACAGCAGTTTATGCAGTTTTAACAACTGCACTACAAGTGTTTTTTTTCTTTTTAAATAAAGGATTTTTTCCAGAAAATGTCACTAGTGATGCTACAGTTTTCTGAAGAGGGTTTTGAACAGTTCGTCTGTAGGTTACTCATCTTACATCTGAGTAACTGACTCAGAACTATTTGGAGGATCCACGCAGTGATATCAGATGAGTCTGCATGGCGCTGAAGATGATCAAGTTCCATCTATCTCCCAGTAATTCCTGGCTCTCCTTCAGTTCAAATGAACCCCCTAGATTCGTGCATATCTCACTCAGCAGCTCCTCTATAGCTGCACACATTCTCTCTGTTTGTATAATGATGGAGGTTTGACAGGTCCTCTAGGTCTCTGAGGAAAAGTGAAGAACTTTTACCTATGTGTCATTGGACAGAAAATGACTTTTCCATGAAACAAAGTCATATTTTTTGATGTCATGCTCTGTTATAATCCTCATCTAATGTAACATTTCTTTCACAAGTCCTGAGATAGAAAACTTTAAAAGGTAAACCCCCAGGAATGTGTGCTTGGCCAGTGCATCATGACATTACATTGCAGGAAAAGTTGAAATGGGTCCAACTTTACCTTCACATGATGCTGAGTTGTTTTGGCAGAGCCCTGTTTTGTCACACAGAGTGAAAGCAGCCTAACCCCTCAGTGAATGTGCTCTCAAATGGCTGCCAGGTTTTTGATCTGTCTGTGTTCAGTGAGTAGAAGGTAGTAGCAGTCACCCAATCAGTAGCCAGACAGAAAAGGGAATGAGCTGCAAATGTGCATACTTATTGACTAACCACCGATCTCCTTTGTTTGTTCAGGGAACACATTGTCCTGGGTTAAGTTAAATGTGAAGGATTTTAATTAATTTAAACTATGTAAGTCAAGGACAGTTAGAGACTAGAGGCACTCCAGTGTTGCCTTGCTTGTGGGCATCAGGTCATTGTCATGCTAAAAGGTGAACCATCACCACAGTCTCAGGTTGTATTCACTCTGCAGCAGGTTTTCTTAAAAGTCTTCTATGTATTTGGCTGCATTCATCCTTGCTTCAGTTCTGACCAGTGTCCCTGTCCCCGCCACTGAGAAGCCCCTGCATAGCAGCCACTACCATGCTTCATCATAGGGATGGCGTTAGCAGATGATGAACAGTGCCAGATGTTTGAAGTTATGTCCAAACAGTTCTGTTTTTCAGACCAAAGAGTATTTTTCCTCATGCTCTCAGTGTTCTTTAAATACAGTCTGGCAAACACCAAGCAGCTGTCATATGTCTTTTACAACAAGCCACTCTATCATGAAGTGTATGGACTTCATGGCTTGGTTTTTATCCTGACATACACTGTGAAATATGGGACCTTATATACACAGGTGTGTGCCTTTCTAAACTATGTCCAGTAAATTCAACTTTGCCACAGGTGGACTCCACTCAAAGTGTGCAAAAAGTGAAAAGGACTGAATACTTTTTGTGAATATCTTAAATAGTTACACTGTGTCATCACAAATCACTTTCATCATAAAATCACTTGCAAGTGGGATTTAGCTACATTCGACTTTATAATCTTAACTGTATTTTTAAATCAAATCTCAATGGTACACTCTCACCCCAACCTGTCGAGGCAGATGGCTGCCCACCATGGGTCTGTAAGAGGTTTCTTCCGTTAAGGTGGGCACACACTTAACAACTGCTGCACCTATTATGAATGATATTTGGATGTGACAACTGATTGTACCCATTTGGATTGAGTCAGACTCATTCTGGGTCAGTCAGCAGATAAAATCATGCAGTGTGTGCCAGGTAATGATTCTGATCTTAAGCATTAAAAACAGTAGTTAAGTGTGGTCTGTCCAGTCTTAGAAGGTTTTAGCCAGTTGTCAAGTATGTGCCCAGCTTTAAAGGGAGTTTTTCCTCCCCACTGTTGCCACATGCTTTCTCAAGGGGGATTTGTTGGGATTTCTTTACAACAGTGTGAGGTCTTGACCTTATTATGTAAACTGCCCTGAGATGATTGTTGTTGTGAATTTGCACTATACAAATAAAATGAACTGAAACTGAACTTTGTAGTGCTTGACCTCAGCCCATCTGCTTCAAACTTTATACTTTACTATGGGGAAGATACTGTTCAGCTATATCTAGTGATTCTGAGAATACAATTTTTCCTCTTCAGTAATGACACAGTATATAATGAATTTGTTCAGTAAGTCCAGTGTTTATAAGAAAAAATAAATCACGTAACACAGCCTGAAATATATGAGCTAACCACAGTGTATTAGTTGTGACCTCTGTGGATGCACTGACAAGGCAGCCAGGCTGCAGTGCAGTGCTAAAGCCTGATCATCCGCATTAACCTTAGCAGGAGAGAAAAACAGAATATGAAAAATAATTAATCTGCCTAAATACACTGGGACAGCCATGGTTTGGAGAGGCTCTTCAGATGGATGAGTGGGGTTCAGACTGCTGTGTCAGCACTGGCTCTGCTGAAGTGCCCTTGAGCAAAATTAGATCCATTGGGGCAGCTCTGGCCTCTGATTTCCCTGGGAAGCAAGAGAAATTATTATTGGATTTTTTTTTTCTTACACAAACCCACTGTGTGTGAGTATAAATAAAACAAAACTTTGGAAATGAGCAACTCAGAACTTCACATGGAGGAGGAGAGAAAGAGCAAGTGAAACAGATAGAGTGAGACATATGAAATAACCAGCCAGCATTAGCATTGACCTTTCCCAGTGGCCAGGCAGAGCCAGCCAAGGCGAACACACAAACTGCTGGTACACTGCTAAAAGCTAGCATGTCACAGCCTATCTCATCAAATCCTGAATTCAATATTTCCTCAGCCCCAGTGTGCTCTGGATGTAATAAGCAATAACTGTATAGCGCAAAAAGGCCAACATCCTACCATGGTTTTCTGAGAGAATGTGAGAGGGTGTGTTCGTTTGTGTGCCTGTTTCACAGCGGGAACTGTAATATATGAAATAATATGAGTGAGGGTTTTGTCACATGACTGGGAGGAATGGAATATTAGTCCTGTGCACCTCTCTGAACTATAATACCTGATATCTTGCCTCCTACTAGTAAAACAAGCTTGTAGAAAAATGTCCCAGCACATTTTATTGCTAATTTGTAAATATCTGGAGTTGGTCATAGCTGAGGAGGAGACACCTGTCTGGACGTGTCAACTGCTAACACAGGTGGTTGACGCTAAAAGTTCATTCCACCACAGCTGAACCTGTTGATTTGATTAAAGAGCTGGAATGACAGACACAGGCCACTGTGACTCGAAAACACAGAAAAGTGCTTAAGAGGTTTGAAGAATCAAAGCATAGCTTATACCAGGCCATGAAAGAAATGGCCAAATACATTCAATTTAATTCAGTTTTATTTGTATAGTGCCAAATCACAACAAAAATCATCTCAGGGCAATTTACACATAAGGCCTAGACATTATTATTATTATTATTATTATTATAGTGGTTCCATGACATTATAAGCACAGAAGGTGTAGCACCTGCGACAGACAGCTGCTCTGGTGAGCTGTCTCCTGAGCACTGTGCTGTTTTCATCCAAAATGTGCTCCAGCAATCGCATCGCTGCATAAGTAGGTGGGAACAAAGGAAGTTAAAGTTTTGTAGAGATGATGGAAATTATACAAATATGCAGTTAATTTCAAAATAGTGGTGGAGACAATTTTAGGTTAACAGAAAAGTGGTAGGGACATATCCCCAAGGTCCCTACCATAAACTACACCTACGGTTGCAATAGTCAAGATGCGAGGTAATGAAAATGTGTCTCCAAATAAGCAAATTAAAGAAAATGTTTAACTTTTGATACTGACCTAAGGAGTTTTTGAGACTGTCGCATGACATCTGACTCCTCTTCCTGAGTGTCTAAGAGGGCAGGTTGATATGGTTGAACTAGGGAAGAAGTTTGACCTTGAGTTTCCTCATAAAGAGTAAAGAAAATGTGTACAGGAGGCATTTAAAACCCTAAGCAGCTATAATGTGTTCTGTCCAGAAGGGAGCAACAGTGCAGGATATTGGGACCTCATCAATAAAAGCAACCAGGACCTGTCCATCTGTGGAAAGAAAGCTATAGCAGGTATACTGTAAATACCATTGGCAGTGGACAGTTTTGTCCCAGTGACCTTCAGGTTATAGACCCAGCACACTTCAACTGTGCTACTTTGCTTTCAAATCCATTTTTAACCCTATAGCTCCTTCATTCATTGAGGGATCTATAAAGTACCTACCTACCTACCATTCTAGTCTATACCCACTTCCTGGTCTATTATACACCGTATAGGGTGGGGAGTGCTACATTAAGGGGCAGAATTGTGCCTTTTTTGAGTTTAGTGTAAATGGACAAAACTGCAACAAAGAAGGCTGAGGCAGCCAATTCCAATTTAGCAAAATCTCGGCATCTACAAATGAACAAATGCACACACACTGTGTAAGAAAGCAAAATGACCTGAGTTCACCTCCAACTTTAGGTCTTAGTTGAATTTCAGTAATCACGCATGTGCAACAAATGCTGACTGCTGCTGAGAGTTTGAGGAGCAAAGATATGAAAGGCTGATGTCTTGAATAGCTCTTTATATCATTAAGGTAATAAATGCCATAGCCACCCCAAGCTCAGTAGAGAGAGGAGGCAAGTTAGTGGGACGTGGGAGGATGGTTGAGGGGAGGAGAGTGGGACAAGGGAGGAGAGGAAAAATAAAGTGTTTACTGACTTTTTATTTTTCCATTATCATCAGCAGTGGAAACGACAACATCCAACTTCACTAACAACAAAAGGGACAAAAACATGTAAACACAGCCTGTCAGGAGCATAATAAAGTCAAATTTATTAATATCTACGCAAGCACACAACCAACAATAACCACCACACACATACACAGACACACCTACACAGTGATATCTTAAGACATTACAAAACACCTAATCTCAAAATGTCAGTTTACTTATTTATCTAGAGAGATGTGGTGCATCAACAAGCAAACAAACTCTTAAAGGGAATTTATATTAGTATCCTTTTATAGTATTAACTGTTGCTATTCTATACAGTTATTTGTGTGCTTGTGACAAATTCAGCTGACTGTATCAGCATGAGTCAGCATGTTTATACTGATAAGCATGCCTTTGTGTGACTGCTGAACTAGATAACTTGTATTCTGTTTTAACCAGTATTCTGTTTCCTTTATCTGTTTGGGAATCTGTTTTCTGTTATTGTATGCCAAGTATAAGAAGGGTGGTCACATTCTGTTCATTGAGCTTCTTTGCAACAGACTGGTTTAGACACTCTGTTTAGAGATCACTCCTTTCTGCAGGAATAAAATATGCAATAACTTTCAGAATTGATGTTAAGTATTTATTTTACACTCACTGAGCTTTAAAAGATCAGTTTTCCACAACAGAATGCAGGCACAAAGTATTTACCCTCAATGCAAGTGCATGCAGTTATTTCACTTCCATCACAAACACACTGAAAAAGACACCAGTAATGATAAACCTTTTGCAGTCAGTCATCCATTAGAGGAAGTGAGATACATGTTACATCAACCTTCTAATTCACAGGAATGGCAGGATGATGCGGTGCCTACAGTTTAGTCTCTTGCCACAGTTGTTATTGCCACTGACAGTGTATGATCTTTCAAGGTAGAGAAGCTAGAGACAATCTTTAGCACGTACATTAGGCTGGGGGCTCCGCACTGCCTCAGCAGTGTGGCCCTGTACAGAATAGGGTTAAACTGGAGATAACGCTGTCAGAAACCAGTGAAGTAGCAGTGCAGAGTGCAGCACCAACAGTCTCAGCAGGGAGGAAGTGGAACCCAAAGGAGGTAACGTTGCAGGCTCAGGCAGCTCTTAAACATACGGATATTGTATGGCAGGTAGAGCATGGACATGGTGGTTTTGGTTTAAGCACATCACAGCATTCTGGGGGCAAAGCAGCAGCAGCTGACAGAAGAAAGGTGGTTATTGAAGAGATTAGGAGGCAGGGAGAAGCAAGTAGATGTGCAAAGGCAGCCTCCCAGGCTCAGCAGGGACAATGGATGAGATGGGAAGATGTAGAAAGGAAGAAACGTATTTGGAGGGAAATATTGGACATGGAAGCAGGAGGGATTAGATTATCTCTAGACACAAGTTATGACGTGTCTCCCCAAACATCCCGACTCCCCAGACATTGTTCTACAGGATTTTAACAAAGCAAATCTCACCCACGAACTGCCCAAATACAGACAGCACATCAGTTGTTCCACCAAGGACATAAACACATTGGACCACTGCTACATGGTAATAAAAGATGGCTATCGCTCTGTCCCCTGTGCAGCCCTCAAACTCTGTGATCACTGCATGGTCCATCTCATCCAAACCTATAGGCAGAAACTTAAAAGCTGTGAAGCCTGTATTCTAAACAGTGAAGAGATGGACTGAGCAGGCAAAGTCAGAGCTACAGGCTTACTTTGACTGCACAGATTGGAGTGTATTTGAGGCTACAGACCTAGATGAATACACTGACACTGTGACATGATACATCAGCTTTTGTGAAGATGCCTGTGTCCACCAAAACCTTCTGGACATACAACAACAACAAGCCCTGGTTCACAGTAAGACTCAAGCAGCTTCCTTGTGCCAAAGAGGAGGCCTACAGAAGTGGGGACAGGACTCTGTACCGCCAGGACAGGAACACACTGACAAGGGAGATCAAAGCAGGAAAGAGGAGCTACTGTGAAAAGCAGAAAAATCAGTTTTCAGCCAATGACCCCTTGTCTGCATGGAGACACCTGAAAAACATCACTAGCTACAGGAAACCATCCCTCCTGCTGTGGAAGACCATCAACTGGCAGATAAACTGAATGTGTTTTACTCTGGGTTTGAGAAGTTCAATACATACAAACTGAGCAAACTCGGATACAGTTCTACAGAGAAATCATCAAGTCTATTCTCTGCACCTCCATCACTGTCTGGTTTGGCTCAGCAACCAAACAGGACAAGTACAGACTTCAGTGGACAGTCAGGACTGCAGAAAATGTCATTGGTGCAAGCCTACCCTCCATGGAAGACCCGTATACCTCACAGATCAAAAGGAGGGCAGAGAAGATTTCTGCAGACACCTCACACCCTGCACACAATCTGTTTGAGCTCCTTCCCTCTGAACGGTGTTACAGGTCACTGTGCACCAAGACAACCAGGCACAAGGACAGTTTCATCACTCTGATGAAGACTTAACCCCATGACTGTATGACAGAATGACAACTCTCAGTGCAGTACCTTGTAAATATACATTTGTGTGTGTGTATATACACACACACACACACATATATATATATATACACACATACATATATATATATATATACACACACACACACATACACACACACATATATATATACACACATACACACACATATATATATATGTGTGTGTATTCATAAGTACTTTATTTTTTTATTTTTTTCCTAATACACTGTTTTTGTTGTTGTTGCTGTTCTCTCTCTTATTTTGTTTACTCATTGCTGTACGGAAGAACATTGTATATACATACTGAGAGTTGTACTGGAGTCTAATTCCTAGTGTGTTCAACATACTGTACACCTGGCCAATAAAGGTCATTTTGATTTGAAAGAAAATCTGAATAGATGGACAGGAGAGGACCTGATAGTTCAGATGTAGCCTCACTTCAGCACATGCTCACATGGTGTAGAACAAGCCTGGCTCAAGGACGTTACACCTAGAGACATAATCAAATGTTAGCAGCAGCTATTGAAAATAGGCACTTAGAGAAGGAGAAGAAGAAACAAGAGGGGATTTTGTTTGTTTGTGAGGGTGAAAAGGCAGTCATTTTGAAGTCATTTTGAGCAGGCAGGATGCAGGCCAGCTAAAAGCAGGGAGAGACTGGCAAATGAAAGTAGATTTAGGGAATCAGCTCATAGTTCCTGAGGAGATACTCAGCAGTACCGTAACCTCAAACCAGACCTTGTGTCGTGGTCAGAAGCACAGTGGACTTTGTATTTTGTAGAGCTTACAGTTCCCTGGGAGGACTCTGTAGATACAGCTTATGAGAGGAAGAAACTTATTAAATACACAGAGTTAGCCAAGGAGGCCGAGGAGTGTGGCTGGAAAGTTAAAGTCCACCCAGTAGAGGTTGGCTATAGGAGATCTGTAGCTAAGTCAGCTGTCCCTCTAACAACTCGCATACCTTCTCCGGCTGCCTTTGATGTCTGCATCTCCCCGCAACCAGACAGCCAATTCACATTTTAACAAAGACAAGTTGGCTTGTTTTGCACTCACACCTAGATCCACTTAACATAATACAAGTTCTGCTTTATCTTGGGATGTCCTGCAGAGACCGGGGGCCCACATCCTGAGATGACCACCTGGCCAGTTTAACATACAAATTAACATCACACACACACACACACACACACACACACACACCCGGTGTAGATCACATTCCAGCAAGGAGGTGTGAGCTCCGGCTCACCAAATGACCAGACATCCACACAGGGAATTGCTTTGAACAAATTGTAAACTGCTGCATATGTATGTGTGGATTATGCCTGCTAAACTGAGGTAACTACCCCAGGAGTTACCTGGATGGCTCCATAGTGAGGCAATCCAAAAAGTACTGACAGGAGGTAAGATACAAGGTGCTGTGTTAGAAGTCTGATTGGTTTTTTTGGAGTGATTAACAAGACAGGGTGGATTCTGATGCAGCACAGAAGGAAGCAGAAGTTTGGCTAGTTATCTGGTGAGCAATTTTAAATGTTTGGTGATTAGAACAGCAGTTGAAATGGGGGATAGGACTGACCTACATCCCTACAGATTAGGGTTTTTTTTTTTTTTTTTTTACACAAAAAATACTAATTAAACAAGTTTATCTGGTTTTGATGAATTGTTGCAATGTATAATGTCATTTAGTTTTAAATAGAGGTGGTTTGTGTTATGGCTGCATGCCACACAAGGTGGTGTGACAGAGGAAGCGGACTCAGATACCTGATTTCAACATAAACAGTGTTTAATAGTGCTGTACAGAACGGTGATAACGTGTCAAAACACATAAATGTCCCGAATAGGTGTAAAGGGTATAGGTGTTGATCTTAGTCAGAGATGATGGACGTAGCAGGGTCAAGCTGTGGAGCAGGAGGGTCACTCACTGGCTGGTGAAGGTATAGATAGTTGAGGCAGAAGAACAGGTGAAAGAACACGATGAGCAGGTAGAAAACAGGATAGGAGAGCACTGACCTGGTAGAGGGATGCTAGTCCGAGGGGTAACGGTGGGTGTTGGTCAGAGGATGACAACTCCGTGTGGAGGCTAATAGTCCAAAAGGGGAGCTGACATCTGGAACAGGTGAGGAGAAAGCTAAGAGAATAAAGAAGGCAAACTTGAACAGAATATACATAAAGACGGTAACAGGGTGGAACGCACTAGTCATCTGCATGGGAACGAATAAACAAACTGGCAGTGAACTGGATGGAAGGCAGGGTAGATATAGGAGGCAGGTAATTGCAGGATAGATAACAGGTGGTGATAATAAGGATAGCTGGCAGGTGTGTGGAGGTGAGAGAGGGCAGCCAAAACGGAGCGACCCTGACAGTTTGTGGTGGTGACCTATTGCCATCTGTCTGTAATCAGGAATTACATGACATGTAAACACATACAGTAGATATCTCTAAAGTTTACAAAGCTCGAGTTATATACTTTAGCCTAAAGAAATAAGGAAATACAAACATTACCCATCTGGAGAAACTTGGAAAAGTAGGTTAAAAATGACAACAAAAATCATCAAGTAACTTTACCTAGTGAGGGCTAGACCTTACAGTACTAGAGAAAAACCCAACAAATCCCCCTTGAGCAAGGACTTGGTGACAGTGGGGAGCAAAAACTCCCTTTAATAGAAGAAACCTCCAACAGACCCTGGCTCTTGGTGGGCGGCCTTCTGCCTCGACTGGTTGGGATACAGGAGAGAGAAAAGAAAAGAAAAGCAACAGGACACATTCTCTAGTATAACAGTCCTGGCACGGTGGTATATACTAGCCAGGCAAGTTGCAGCAGAACATGTGTTTAGTTTTTGCAAGTTAAGGAAAACCTGGCCAACTGCTTGTTGATTGACATGCTAAAATGAACCACCATCACAATGCTGTCTATCGTGTGTATCAGTACACAAAGCTTTATATATAGTAGGAGCTGCTTGAATTAGATGCATTTATAACACTTCTGCAGAACTGAGCCTCTTGCAGCCTTCTGTAAGACTGTTCTACATCATCTATTTGCAGTATGTATACAATGAAAAATGTGTTTATAATATCTTTTATAAACACTAACCAAAGACTTTGCTTACTTTTTATAAAAGACTATACTTCTTATCCATTTTTTGTGCTTCACACAACACAGTGGTGACAGTTTTATTCATTTACATTTACAATTACATTAAATCCCCATATGATACCAATTCCAGGTGAAAGGGGCATAGGACAGCACTCATTTTGGACTCTCTCCTCTCTGCCTCCAGGGGGTTGAGCCTCAGCTCCATGACTGAACAAACCTTTTTACCACTTTGCTGAGCCTGCAGGCCGCTCTGCTCCTCCTGCTGCCTTCCCATGAAACAGCAAGATGCACTGCACTCGTAACTAAAGCTTAGAGGATGTGTACCTATCTGAAGAGCAGCCAACTTGTAGACCGATCCTTGTTGGAGAAAGCTGTCTTCAGTCTTAGAAGCGCTTTGCAGATGCTTAGACACTGATCAAGATGTGCATTTGCTTTGAAGTTAAATTATTACTTGTCTCAGAAGATAACTAATAATGCACATGCATCTGATAGGAACCTATAGTGGCAACACTGCACAGAAAAAAATACTTTTGTATGATATATTGTAAACAGGTAGTTACATTTATAGATAATCAATATAATATAGTAATAACATACAAGGAAAATTACATATATTACTAATATTTCAGTCAAACTAATCCTGTACAGACAGGACTTTAGACACACATACTGAATTTTGGGGCTGACAGCAAATTCTGAGTTGAATTTAGGAGATACTGTAGCTGTGATCCTACATTGATTTTAACACTACAAGCATGAAAAGAAGGCTTTGATTAAAGGAGGGGAAATTTTGAATAGGAGGTTTCAAAGCCAGTGTAAAAACTGTTTAAACTAAATGTCTGAAAGCATTTTCTCATGTTTCAAACTGTAGATATTTAAATTTAACAGTGCCAGTGGCAACATTTTTTACACCCCAGATTTCTTCCTAAAATGCACATATACTGTATTACATCTATAAAAATGTTAGTAATTATCAAGCTGGCTTCAGAATACTCTGTTTTAAAGCAAGGTAAAACCTTTATTTAACACTCATTTCTGGGTTGACTAAAGACATGTCCATATTTACACCCAGAGCTCAGAGGACCAAATTAATTTTTCTAGTTAATTTTGGCATATTGTTCCAATATATGACGGTAAATCCACTTTGGTCCTTGATGTTCCCCAGATATTTGGCTCAAAGGGAATTTACATAAATTTACATATTAAATACTGTAAGATGCCTCATATAAGGGCAACATTATACAATTTCCTGAAACCTAATTATTAAAGTTATTTATTTTCCTGTTTAATTTTAACCAAGCCTGAGTTGAGTAAGAGGTACTGCAGCAAAGAGTGATCTGTTACTGTGCGCATCTCAGTTGTTAAACATGAAGGCACAGCGTGATTGAAACATGGAATGTATGTACAGTCATTACCAAAAATATTGGCACCCTTGCATTTCTGTCAGATAATGTATTCACATGTTTATTTTTATGATTTGCAATGGAATAACACAGAAGGGCAGAGAATCAAGATTCAACATTTTTATTTGCCATTTATGCATAAACAGACAGTCTAGGCATATAGGAATTCTTGTGCAGGGAGTGAAGTAAAGAGTTTAAAGCCAAAACAATGAACACCTAATCTAAGTATAAAATCACCCAAGAATACATAAAACAAGAATACCCAAAAATACAAAATAGTTGATAAAGTTTTGGATACAGGAATAAGATAGCAGGTAAAATGGAGAGTTTCAAATATCACACATGGTATTGTGCATAGTGTAATTGTATATGATATTCTACTTAGTAGGGTAATGAGGGGTTATTGCACATTTTTTTCACATTTTATATTTGCCATCAGTGCCTTACTGAGGCAGGGAAAAAGCTGTTATAGAATCTTGTTCTGTGTGATGATACTGTCCACTCTGCTGTGCCTGAGGTTGAGGGTGCAGTTTTTTGTGTCTGAGCGGATTGTGAGCTGGGTGGAGTGGGTGTCTGATTATGTTCTCTACTCTTTTGCGACAGCACTGTGTGTATATTGTGTCCATAGCAGGCAGTTCAGTCCCAGTGATCCCCTCTGCAGTTTTTATGACCCTTTGAAGAGCCTTCCTCTCTGCCTGTGTGGTGTTACCATACCAGACTGTGATGCCAGTAGCGAGGATGCTCTCTACCAGTCCTCTGTTAGCCTGGGTGAGGGAGTGACGGTTTCGACCAGCTTTCCTGAGCTGCCTGATGAAGTATAGCCGCTACTGGGCTTTCTTCATTGTGGCAGCTGTGTTCAGTGACCAGCTCAGGTCAGGTGTCACCTGCAAGCCCAGGAACTTGTGGCTGTCAGCCCTCTCCACCTCAGTCCCTTTGATGGTCAGAGGCAGCAGAGGGGAGGGGTTCTTGCTGAAGTCTATTATTATGTCTTTTGTCTTGTTTATATTGAGGCTGAGCTCATTCTCCTCTCCATTAACAAGAATGTTGTTCACCAAGCTTCTGTAACCCGACTTGTCTTGCCCCCTTGATGAGGCCCAGGATGGTGGTGTCATCAGCATATTTAATGATGATGGTGTTGTCATGGTTGGAGACACAGTCGTGAGTGTACAGGATGAAGAGTTTTGGGCTGAGACAGCAGCCCTGTGGTGAGCCTGTGCTGACTGTGAGCTCAGCAGACATCCACCCTACCATTCTCACCACCTGTGGTCTTTCTGTCAGGAAGTCCAAAATCCAGTTACAGGTGGGAGTTGGGACACTGAGGTCTGTCATCTTCTCAGCCTGCCCGGGCAAATGGTATTGAATGCACAAGTGTACTCCAGGAAGAGCATCCTAACATATGTTCCGCTGTTGCCCAGGTGTTTGATACATTCCATGCAGAACTGTTAGCTGTTTTGGCCTCCATGTACAGATACCAACATTCAGCTATAGCCTGGGGAAAAAACATTTAAAATGTTGCTTTTGTAGCAGGAAGAACAGTAAATGTATAAAACACATAGTACTGCATATGCAATCGGGTATATACTGTAACAAGAAGGAGACAGGATCTTTAGGCCTTACTGCCCTGTTTTTCTACTGTATAATATTACCTTATATTACCTGCCATAACTGTGTAGTTGAATTTAGTGTAGTGTGCAATTCTTCTGTGTAATGGTTCCATCACACCATATTGTATTTAACATGTAATTACAGTCACAGTCCTCACTGCTTACCTAAGCAATTTCATTGGTTGGTCGTCTGTGCAGAAAAGTACGGTTAAGCTCTTATTCTCCATGTTCAACTTGTTCTTACAGTATGCTTTCTGTGGTACACGGGAAGCTGGTGGCAAACCTCCCCATTTCCCTTGTTATCTAACCTCACATGTGAACCCCACTTTAGATAAAAGCTTTAGAAGCGGTGCACATGTGTTGATAGCTTTACTAAAAGCAGTATCACACATGCAGATGTTTGAGGCCAAACTAGCTGTTGTCACCTCACACATAAAGTAAGAAAAAGGGACACACAGAGACAGGGAGATACTAAATAGATCTCCCTCCTGCTCACAAAACCCTGCAAGCATGCTCTGCATGTGTGTGTGTCTGTGTGCAGCTGTATGTGTGACAGCATGCTGCGTGTCATGCTGCTGTTGAGCTATTCCCAGGGTGAACTGCACCAAATGCACACAGTAGGTTGGGAGGGTGAGTCACCAGGATCTTGAGCAGGGATTTTTCCTGCCATACTGCTGAAGTTGCCATCTAATGGCTACAATTAATAACATTTTTCAGTCAAACACACTGGTAGAAGTCACATAATACTGCAGAATGAATTTGCTAAAAACTGCCCCCCTTGGTTAAATGGCTGGTGATGGTAAAATGAAATTTTAATGATCTATGTGGGTGAGTAAAGAACAAATTCAACTGAAATAACATAAGGTAGCAGTAGACAAAAAGAATTTGAATGTCAACAATTACACAGTTTACGCATATAACTTCAAATTCTTTATACTTGGGCAGCTCTTAGTAGAGAATGTGAGTTGCCATCATGCTGTGTTTTGGGTAAATGCACCATTTTGGGGAGATCACGCTCATTATTCATAACAGAGATATATACAACTAAGTTAATTTAAAAAATAAATACTGTCCCATACAGCTACATACAGTAACAGATGCTTCATCTATGTCCAAACGTCCACTTTAGTGTTCAGCACAGCACAGAAAAG